GAGGTATGCCACCTGCATACTGACCCGCTCATCTTCGGCCCTACCCCAAATCCAAAATTTAACCCAAGTGGACATTTTCATTTTCTTTTCCAAAAACAAATATGAATTGGGTTAAGGACCTGAGCGACACTGGGGACTTTTTCTAGTGTGATGATAAACCAATGTTGCCAGCTCCCCTGGGAGTTTAGGGGGAGCTACTCAGAGGCAAAACTGGGTAAGCTTCCCAGTTCTGCTCTCTCTTCAATGGGAGCTAGGTGCCTAATGACCCATTGTGGTTTTGGTACATCTCTCCCTTCGCTCTCACACTGCTGATCCAGTGTTGGGGCCACCAGTCTGGCACTCAGCTCCTGGCAGCCGGAGGCAGGGATATGTCCCACCGTGAGCGCTACTGGGGCTAGTGGCAGGAAAGTGATAGAAATGTAGCCGTCCTGCTGGGGGTGGGGAGCATGGCAGAGAGCTCAAAACCCCTGCAGCCTGATCTTCAGCTGATGTAAATCCATGTAGCTGCAGGACCTCCAGTTTACTCCAGTAGAGAACGGGACCCATATAAGCCAGGCTTGTGTCTGGCCTCCTGGGAACATGAGCAGTGCGAAAAGTACCAGCAGAGGATCATAAAAAAGTAGCATGTAAAATGCCTAATAGATCAAGTGCCCCTGAGTTATGGGCCTGTTCCCTTTGGGGAATGTAGGTCCTTTAACTGACATTACACTTGAGCCCAAGCATAAGAAGCCAGTGCTTTCCGGAAGGGTGCCCAGTTCGACCTCAGCTGAAAAGCTGGTCTGTGTCCTGGAAAAGAAAGGAGAACTCAGCAGTTGTCCAGGTTGGCTTCTTCCCCCTGCCCTCCCTGGCTGGTTTGGGGGCTCTGAACACTTAGAACTGGGGGGAGGAGAGGGCAGCCGGTGGAGGGGGGAACTAAAACTACTGGCTTCCTCAGCTTTCCCTGCCCGCTAACCAGGAACTAGTTAAACTTTCGCTGCGCCTTGCAGAGCCGCACAAGGGCTTTGGCTGGAAGAAGCAGGCTGCAGCCTTTGCAAGATCAGCCCTTCGCCCTGTCCTCCCCCCTTGCTCCGGCGTTATACATCCCCCAGCTTGTAGATCCTCCCCTTGCTCTCCTCCCCCAGCCTCCCCAGCCTGCTGCTATCTGAGCTAGGATGGTACGTGATCTCTTGGAGACCAGCACACGCGCGCCAATACGCACACGCCCCAGCGGGCACTGCTACCCCGCGGAGCAACATGTCTTTCTCCTAGCAGCGGTGCCCCTCACAGCCTGCCAGTCCTTGACGATGTGGCCATGCTTTCCTCTCTGCCTCCTGCTTTCCCTCTCGCTGCTCCTGCCCCCGGGGCATCTCTGCCCCCCTCTCTGTAGCTGCCTGGACTACCACACCATAGACTGCCGGGACCAAGGGCTGCCCAGTGTCCCGAACCCCTTCCCGCTGGACGTGCGGAAACTCCTGGTGGCTGACAACAACATCCAGGCAATCCCGGCGGATTTTTTTATCTTTTATGGCGACCTGGTGTACCTGGACTTCAGGAATAACTCCATCGCCGCCTTGGAGGGCGGCACGTTCAGCAGCTCCGCCAAGCTGGTGTTCTTGGACCTCAGCTACAATAATTTAACCCAGCTGGAGGCCGGGATATTCAGGTCGGCGGAGAAGCTGATCAAACTGAGCCTCGGGAACAATCGCCTGGTGGAGGTGGACGAGGCTGCGTTTGAGAACCTGGAGCAGCTGCAGGTGTTGGAGCTGAACGACAACAACTTGCAGAGCCTCAGCGTGGCGGCCCTGGAGGCGCTGCCCGCCCTCCGGACCATCCGCCTGGAGGGCAACCCCTGGGTCTGCGACTGTGACTTTGCCAACCTCTTCAGCTGGATCCAAGAGAACGCCTCCAAGCTCCAGAAAGGTACAGCTAGCTGCAGGACTGGCAAGGGGCAGCCTGTGTGTGTGTGTGTGTGAGTGTGTGAGACAGGTGCACTCTTCCAGTCAGCTTGTGTGTGTGCGCATGTGTGAGACATGTGCACTTTTCCAACCAGCGTTTGTGTGTGTGAGAGACAGGTACCCTCTTCCAGGCAGCATGTGTGTGTGTGTGTGTGACGTGCACTCTTCCAGGCAGCGTTTGTGTGTGTGAGAGACACGTGCCCTCTTCCAGGCAGTGTGTGTGTGTGTGTGTGTGTGTGTAAGAGAGAGATCACCATGGCCTGTAGTGTATGTGTGTGCGTATGTGATCACCATAGTGTGTGAGAGTGTGTATGAGAGTGAGAGTGAGAGAGAGAGAGGAGAGCTGTGTGTGTGTTTCTGTGTGTGTGAAACACGTGTACTCTTTTAGGCAGTGTGTGTGAGTGTGAGACACACACTCTTGCAGGTAGCTTGTGAGTGTGTGAGACATGTGCACTCTTCCAGTCAGCTTGTGTGTGTGCATGTGTGTGTGACGTGTACTTTTCCAGGCAGCGTTTGTGTGTGTGACACATGCCCTCTTCCAGGCAGCTTGTGTGTGTGTGTGTGTGTGTGAGTGTGTGAGACACGCACTCTTTTAGGCTGTGTGTGAGTGTGTGAGATGCACTCTTTTAGGCTGCGTGTGAGTGTGAGACACATGCACTCTTCTAGTCAGTTTGTGTGTGAGACAGGTGTGTGTGTGACAGAGAGAGAGAGAGAGAGAGATGCGCACTTTTCCTGCTAATCAGCTTGTCCGTCCAGTGACCTTTTAGTACTAACATCCCCCTCCCAGGAAATGGGATATTTGGGCCCTGTGATGAAACCTCTCCAGGTGGAGAAGAGCCTTTTCAAACCAGGTGGCCGCACCCTGATTCTCTTCCAGGCTTTAGTTTCTATTAAGTAAATGCATAGATTGCCTTTAATAAGCCCTTGGAATGGCTGACTGTTTGTGCCAGCACACGGGGGAACTTGATTTTACCCTGCCTCGATTTTCTAGGAAGCAGCCCCGAGAGCTCGAGCTGCCAAATCTGGAATTACCCGACATGGCAAAGCACTTAGTCCTGGGGTTTGGCTGGTTATTTTCAGATGCACTTTGAAATGATATTAAAGGTGCCATGTGCAGGAATCCAGACATGCCCTGCCCAGCCCAAGGCTCTTCATAATCTGACAAGCTTTAGCTGGAGATCAACCACAGGTCAGGGTTCCCAACAAGCACCGGGGTGAGAAACTCCTGCCATTAACCCCCTCAGAGGCCCATGGGTACCAAACAGCCAGGAGTGGACGTGGTGATGGGGCTACTGGAGGGCACACAAGGTAACACCCCTCATGAGATCACTGCTGCCTAGTCTGCTTCTGAGCTAAGCTGTGTTTGGCTGGGGTTGGGGGGAGGGAGGGGGATAAAAGGCTGAGGTTTGATCACCAGGGAGAACAGGAGGTGGAGAAAGGAAGAAGCCATTCTCTAAAGAGCATCTCTGGGTATTTCCTGCAGTGTCGGAGGCAGAGGGAGAAAAACACTGAATGAGCCAAGAAAACAATATCAGGAGCTTTTCCCTCCTGTTTGTCACTAGAGGCTGTCACACTTGTGTGAGCTCTCCTTGTGCCCGTCCCCTTGGGGGGCACGTCTGATACATGAATTTGCTTTGCCCTAGATGCTCAAGGATGTCATGAGACCTATTAGAGATGGATGAAGTGATTGGGGGAGAAAAATGTTCGTCTCCCCACCCCTGCTGGGCGGGAGCCTAATCTCGACCAGCTTCCCCCAGCAAGTCTGAGCCAGCTTGAGTCTGTCTTGGACTCAGAGCTGTGTGTTGGCCCACCTCCCCTGAAGCATGTGAGCCCATCTCTTCCCCTTATCCAGAGCAAACCTCCAGTCGGCGGCCCCTCTGTGTTCCAGCTGAACCTTCTTCCATTTCCCCTACCTGCTCATCTGAACAGTGCGCCGAACCTTTAACTGATTGAAGATTCTGATCATTCCTCCCTTCCTCCATACACAACACTTCATCTGAGCCAGCAATTTATCCCTCATTTCCTCCCCATTTACTTAGTCAATCTTTTATCCATCCCCCCGCTGCGTGTGAGTGTGAGACACATGCACTCTTCTAGTCAGTTTGTGTGTGAGACAGGTGTGTGTGTGACAGAGAGAGAGAGATGCGCACTTTTCCTGCTAATCAGCTTGTCCGTCCAGTGACCTTTTAGTACTAACATCCCCCTCCCAGGAAATGGGATATTTGGGCCCTGTGATGAAACCTCTCCAGGTGGAGAAGAGCCTTTTCAAACCAGGTGGCCGCACCCTGATTCTCTTCCAGGCTTTAGTTTCTATTAAGTAAATGCATAGATTGCCTTTAATAAGCCCTTGGAATGGCTGACTGTTTGTGCCAGCACACGGGGGAACTTGATTTTACCCTGCCTCGATTTTCTAGGAAGCAGCCCCGAGAGCTCGAGCTGCCAAATCTGGAATTACCCGACATGGCAAAGCACTTAGTCCTGGGGTTTGGCTGGTTATTTTCAGATGCACTTTGAAATGATATTAAAGGTGCCATGTGCAGGAATCCAGACATGCCCTGCCCAGCCCAAGGCTCTTCATAATCTGACAAGCTTTAGCTGGAGATCAACCACAGGTCAGGGTTCCCAACAAGCACCGGGGTGAGAAACTCCTGCCATTAACCCCCTCAGAGGCCCATGGGTACCAAACAGCCAGGAGTGGACGTGGTGATGGGGCTACTGGAGGGCACACAAGGTAACACCCCTCATGAGATCACTGCTGCCTAGTCTGCTTCTGAGCTAAGCTGTGTTTGGCTGGGGTTGGGGGGAGGGAGGGGGATAAAAGGCTGAGGTTTGATCACCAGGGAGAACAGGAGGTGGAGAAAGGAAGAAGCCATTCTCTAAAGAGCATCTCTGGGTATTTCCTGCAGTGTCGGAGGCAGAGGGAGAAAAACACTGAATGAGCCAAGAAAACAATATCAGGAGCTTTTCCCTCCTGTTTGTCACTAGAGGCTGTCACACTTGTGTGAGCTCTCCTTGTGCCCGTCCCCTTGGGGGGCACGTCTGATACATGAATTTGCTTTGCCCTAGATGCTCAAGGATGTCATGAGACCTATTAGAGATGGATGAAGTGATTGGGGGAGAAAAATGTTCGTCTCCCCACCCCTGCTGGGCGGGAGCCTAATCTCGACCAGCTTCCCCCAGCAAGTCTGAGCCAGCTTGAGTCTGTCTTGGACTCAGAGCTGTGTGTTGGCCCACCTCCCCTGAAGCATGTGAGCCCATCTCTTCCCCTTATCCAGGGCAAACCTCCAGTCGGCGGCCCCTCTGTGTTCCAGCTGAACCTTCTTCCATTTCCCCTACCTGCTCGTCTGAACAGTGTGCCGAACCTTTAACTGATTGAAGATTCTGATCATTCCTCCCTTCCTCCATACACAACACTTCATCTGAGCCAGCAATTTATCCCTCATTTCCTCCCCATTTACTTAGTCAATCTTTTATCCATCCCCCCTTAACCCAAACCAATCTGTTCCACCTTCAAAAATATCCTAATAATGACACTCTCTTTTCCCCAATTTGCATCCCCTTTCAGCATAGCTACTTTCACCCTCCCATTGCTTTTATGCCTGTTCCTAAGTGTGCCTGTGTTTCTTAGATCTGCAAATCCCTAGAGATCAAGTTTTCTTACAGGCTTTCCCCATATTTACTGGGGTCAGCCAGGCTAGAAACACCTTGGCAGCGTGTTTTGTTTCAGCCATTTCCAACCCCAGATGAACCCAAGAATATCTATACATTTGTTCGGAGGTTCAGAAGGAGTTAAGAGGGAAATCATCTGTAAGTCTCAGACTCTGGGCAAAAGTAAAAGAGGTAAATAACTACGGTAACATGGTAGGGAGCTGCCAAATCAGAAAGAGCAGGTAGGGGAGACATTTCTAGAACAAATAACAGACAAATCCAAAACACAAGATTTAGAAGTAACGGAGGACGTTAGCTATCCAGATATCTGTTGGAAAAGTAATATAGTACACCCCAAAATTCCCAGTAAGTTGTTGGCATGTATTGGGGACAATTTTTTTGTTTCTAAAAGTGGAGGAAGTAACCAGAGGATGGCCATTTTGGATTAGATTCTGACCGACAAGGATGAATTGGTGGTGAATCTGAAGGTGGAAGGAATTTTGGGTCAAAGTGATCATGCTGAAATCATAGGCGCGGGGAGTAGGATGCGAGGGGGGCTGTGACAGCACCTCCAGGTTTGGCTTCTTGGTGCCCATAGGTTGGCCATGTTTCCGACCTGCTGTCAGCTCTGCTAGCCCTGCGTCCTGGCCTCCAGGTGGCCCCACCCATCCCAGGGTCCCACCACCAGCCAGCCTCAAGGTCCAGGCCACTGGCCCTGGAATCTCCGCTGCCACATGGGGTTCCACAGCCAGCCAGGCCCTGCTCCTCACCTGAGCTCTGCAGCCACTTCCAGCTGTGGCTAGATTTGCAATTCCCCTGGACCAGACACATCAGACTGAAGCTATTTGTTATTTGCGTCAATGGCATCCGATCTGGGAGAGTTGGCAGCCCTACGTGTGACCCCAACTTGGGGTGGTGAGGTGAACAGAGATAAGGGGGGCACAGCTCAGCACCCCCACCCTAAAATAGTTCCAGCACGACTGTATGACTTGATAGATTTCATTACTCTAAGGCAAGGTGTGATCATCAGAATAAGGGTAATGCAGCTCCTAAAAAGCTGACTTTAACAAACTAAGAGAACTGGGAAATAAGATCCCATGGGGGGGGAAATCTACAGGAAAATGGAATTCAGGAGACTTGGGAGTCTTTCACACAGATGGTATTAAAAGCCAAACTGCCAACTAGTCCAAAGTGAAGGAAAGAAAGGAAGAATAATGAAAAATATGGCTCCATCTTGAATGGCCTGAAAATCAAGAAGGTATTCTACAAAAAGTGGAAACAGGGACAGATTGCTAGGGAGGAGTTCAAAAAATAGCA